TCACTTGGTCCTCAAGGATCTGTCAAGAAGGACCTTGCTTTCTCTGCTCTTATCACACAATCTATTTACAATAATGGACACTCTGAATCGCATAATCTGGGAGACAGAGGGTTCTTTATGCACCTGTTCAGAGGGGTTCTGTCCAAATATGGTGGCACATAAATGACCTATTGTTGCCTATTCTTTACATGGGCTTTGTTGCGGGATATCTGGCGTAAGCAGAGGCTCACAGGTCTAGAGTATCGGGCCTTTTTTTTGCATTTTTGAATGAGTACCCTGTTTTGGCCATTTGTGTGATTTTACACAACCACAGTGTAAAATCAGCTGAGCTTCAGTCATGTCTTATCTAAGGGAGAAAAAACTGAAGAGTAAGTGCACAGCATTGTTTCAAAACTAGCCTGAGACATGCGCCCACCCTCACGCATTGCTGAAAAAGGCACTATATATATACCCAAATAAATGGAACAAAGAAATAATGTAAGCAATACTCAACAATGGCACTCGCTGGCTATGGGCAGTGCTTGAGTTCAGAATATAATCAAATTTTGGACGGCCAAAGCCATGTATGGCAGGATTTACTTTGCAGCCAAAAATAACCTATGCTGGCAATTTCCAAGACAGCAGCAGAAAAAGGGGTAGAAAATTGCTTCCAGGGCTGCAGACCAGACAAGATTATACCCCAAGTCTTTGTAAAGGGAAGCGTGAATAGACCCCTAAGACTCACACGAGGGGAGGGAACGGGAGCAAACATTGGCTTTGGGTCAAAAAGTAGGGGGTGAGAATTTTGAGGAGAGTGAGCAAGGCTCCATTTAAATGTTTGTGGCCCTGTGCTCAGGGATTTGAGAAAAGTGAATATTCCACTCATCAATAATGTAGGTGAGAGGAGGGGCAGAGAGGCCGGCGGATTCTCAATAGGTTAATACACTGGGCTTTCACCCTTTGATTCCAGTTTGGGAAGTGTCAGCACAAGAATATATTTTATCTCCTCGCCAGGCTCCGTCGGACTGCAACATCTGTCGAAAAGTAGGTTATTAGCAAGGGTGAAATATCTGAAAAATCTAAATCTGGGCTCTTTCCAGAGTGGAACCTCATCATTAGGTGGCTTGTGAAATTAAATTTGGAAATGAAAAATCTAAACAAAGTAGTTTAAAACTAGTGCATAAAACAGATCAAGAAATGCAGTGCACTTTCCAGAGGGGTAAAATGTATAATAAATAATAAAATAGAATAATTGCCCTCAGTAGACAATAAAACTTTTAACAAATATTTGGAGAGAAATTAAAAAGCAAATAGTTGGAGGTCCCATAAAAGCTTTCTTTTACTGATGGGACATCAAAGGGGGAAAAGACAAATAGAAAACAAGCAAGCAAACACTAAAACATGAATATTTTACACATGCATCTAAAAGACAGGAGACTCAAAGGGGACGGCTCTTCCATCTCAGAGAGAGAGAAATGGCTCTGTGCGAGAGAAAAAGGGATGCAGGTCATTGCATTGTGTTCAACGGACACACTTTGTATTAAAATATGAATTGATCCATCTGTAAGCAGCACTTAGCTTACACCGGAATAAATCAATATTTAATATCCCCCACCAACAGCCCCAGTAGATGATTTTAACCTCTCCTTAATCCAATTTATGTTACCTTTCCACGTAAGCTTTCACTATGATAAACTTCCAAACAGCAGACTGGAAGGCAGTTATTAAAGGGCGTTCAGTATTTATGTCAGGTGAGGCGATGTGCTGAAATATTAATATTCTGAAACTGACCAAAGTGAAAGCTTTTATCTACAACACTTAGGGGCCTTTTTTTCGTCCGTCAGGCGCGATCAGCAGGCACGGGCCAACTGTCTGACTGCTGGCAATGCTGGGTGATATACAACGGGCGGTTCATTACCGTTTTGTACATGCTTGTAGTAGCTCTTCCCATGACATGTAAAGGGTCCCCTGAAACATATGGTTAGAGGGCATTACTGTGGCCTTAACTTTATAACAGGATTTTATGTATCAATGAATGAAGACATGAATGAATGAATTAGGCAAACAAACAAACAAAAAATATTAATCATGCCCCCTGACCTATATGTTAACTGCATAAAATGAGCGGAGAGCTGAGAAGAGAATGTGTGCTTGTGTTAAAAAACAACTAGATAAATAATAAAAAAAAACATGACTTCAAATAAACAAAACAGAAAATCAAAACAAAACAAACATAATGACCTCAAGCCTATTCAGTTATTTTTTAATTTGCCAGAATAAAGTTGTTATTAATTCTGATTTGATTCAATAAAACAGAAAAAAAATATTAATCATGCCCCCTGACCTATATGTTAACTGCATAAAATGAGCGGAGAGCTGAGAAGAGAATGTGTGCTTGTGTTAAAAAACAACTAGATAAATAATAAAAAAAAAACATGACTTCAAATAAACAAAACAGAAAATCAAAACAAAACAAACATAATGACCTCAAGCCTATTCAGTTATTTTTTAATTTGCCAGAATAAAGTTGTTATTAATTCTGATTTGATTCAATAAAACAGATTATCATGTAATTCATTTGATAATTTTAAATCAGCCCTACTAACAAAACTGAAAAAAATAGGAATATTCTTCATATTACACTGAGTACAATAAATGTCTGCTCAGTTACATTCGTTTGAACTTTAGAGACATATGGAACACATGATGAGGAAAATACAGCTTCTGTTTGGCCTCTGGTTGTTTGCAACATCAATACATCTGTTTGGCTCAGTAACAGACTGAGGTGAAGCTGCCTTTATGATATCATCAGTTGCAGACAGGCTTCTGAGCGAGACTACAGTACAAAAGAGGCCTGCCATTTTCTTCCGTCGTATTTTAAGGTCATAAACTTACGTTCTCAGATATGGAAGCAACTGAGAACTCGGAAGGAAAAAAAGGCTTAAAGAAAGAGAATGTCTTTGCGAATGATACTTCAAAAAACGAGGGAGTCTCTGTAACCTATAGCAACAATGATAACCCAAACATACCAGTCATATTTTCACACTGATAGAGCACCTAATTATTATTTGTCATTCCCTCCTTTGCCCCTTTCTTTGTGCCGCTGGCTGCCCCGAATTACCTTGGCCTTACATCAAAGACCTTTAGGGAAAACACATTTAGCCACAAGCTTCATGTCTTTTTTCTCTGGGTGGGGGGGGGCTTGGGGAAGGTGGAGAGAAACAGAACTGATTTCCTCCCCACTTAGAAAAACACACAAAGCTCACCTGAGCCGAGATGCCGAAAATAACCATGTGAAAAGGCAGGGCCTTACAATTGTGAGAAGACAAAACCCAAGCCAGACAAGAGAGGAGGAGAAAAAAAGCGTTAAGCTCGGCCTGCTAAGAACAATGAAGCTGTAGGTGTGTGCTGCCTGTTGACAAACGTGCCTTTTCAGCCATTGTTGGAGCAGCATTCATGTCATGTAGCGGCATATTCTCGCGTTTGGCTGACCATGAGCTAACCCCAGAGCAATTTTGGGAGGTAAAGCGGGAAGGAGAGGATGAGTTGAGGCTGGTGAAGGTAAAATGGGAAAAAAGGGAGGGAGGGAGACAGTCACAGGTGATGGCTGCATGTTCACATACCACATCCACCTCCAAAGAACATGAACAAAGAGTGCAAAATCTCAAAAGAATGGCACGTAATGCACTGGCTTAGGTGATATCTCCATTTATAATGGCTTAGAGTTGAGCATTTTGTTTGAGAAAACAGGATTATGACCCCCACAATGCATTCCTGAGCAGTAAAGAGGTACTGTAAATTGCTGTGAGAAGCAGCAATAATATAAAAATGGAATTTCTGCCTTTATTGAGGACACGCTTGGGTCTCGGCGTTTCCTCCGATGCCACCCACATTGGGGCATGTCTTTCGCCCTGACTTCTAAGTTGATTGAAAAATAGTCCCTCTACTTTTTTTTTACATATATATTGACCTACTTTAAGATGCTGGTTGAAAGTAATCAGGTGCTGAAAAATTAATGAGCCTCCACTCCCAGTTCCTGCCTGCGTTTCACAGCCAACTGGCAATATGGCATCAATCAGATGGTAGTGGTGTCTGTTTTTCTGCTTCTTGATTGACTCATTGATTGAAGATATTTTTAAAAAGAATCCCAGAGAGAATGTCTGCTCCCGGTACAAAGTGGGCCTGTCCCACACCAGGGGCTGAAGAGGGCTGCCTGTATGCTTTAATTGGGCAGAGACATCATAGTTTGAACCCGCACAGGCCAGGCACCAGAGGACCGCGATGGTCCTCCTTGCTCACAAATGCAAACACACACTCATCCACCATCTATCCTGCCAATGTCAATCAAAGACACTCCTCTGGACGTGCTTCAAAGACCTTGATTGGTTTTAAAGATCATGTCTGAAAAACACTGTGGGCTCAAGTCCTTGAGCTTTGGCTGTTGTTGTGCCCTCAGGCGAAAGGGGAAGGAACAAGAGTTAGTTGTGTTGGGTATATTACTTCTGCAATGGAATCTGGTATTGATTACAAATTGCATGAATAAAATTGGATTTTGATTACTTTGACGACTCGCATGCACAAATGATTTTGTTCTATTTTGACAAAATAAAGGGCAACGTATTTCTTAAACTAAGCCTTTATCAACAAAAAGAGTCCTACATACAATGTTTTTATGAAAATCTAATTACGACTTATAACTAATACTATTTATTTATTTAATTATTATACAAGTAAAAAAAAAAAAAAAACAATATTTTTATGAGGAAAAACTGCAAGACTCTGTGTTGTTGATAGAGGGAAAATTTATGAACTATGTCGCTCATTGCTCTTATATTTTTAATTAAAATTGTCCTATTTTATTAATAGTTTTTATTTTTTAAATAATAAAACAAAATGTTAGGAATTTTTAATAAGATAAAAAGTTATAGTCTAATTTAAGCACTTGATATTTGTGAAGTGATTCCATAATCCAAATTCCCTGCAGTAACCCAACACTTTTCACAGGTGTCAAACACACTCACCTTATCAGATCTGCAGTTGTTCAGGCCCATGCTGGTGAGGGCAGACAGCTTGGCCTCTATTCCCTGCTGATGATGCTGAAGCTGCTCTCTCTGAATCTGCTCCCTCATCTTCCTCGCTTCCTGGATGGCCTTCATTACTGCATCCTGATCTCCAAACAGCGCTGTTGAGTTCAGGCTGGACAGGATGTCTGCAGAGACAAATCACTCGGGTTCAACATACAAATACACAAATGCTTAGGGCCGTATTGTGAAACACAATATAGGCGGTCTTGTGAGTACAGTCTGCATGTGTGCACTGTAAGTGTGGTCGACTTCATGTGTGTGTGTGTGTGTGTGTGTGTGTGTGTTTGTGTGTGTGTATCTAGTATGCTTTTCATACGGCATTTAAAAAAACATAATCCCAACCGTTGAAATACTATATTGTGTGTGGGGGGGGGGGGGGGGGGGGGGGGGTTTGGCAGGAAACTAAGGGAAGCTAAGGGAGCAATCTCAGTGTGTGTCGCCTTTCTGTAATTAGTAGATCAAAGTGAGGTGAGGCAGGATGGCAGTTAAATCTAGGAAATAGTAGAAAAACAAACACCAAGCCTGTGTTCAAAGCCCAACTCCAAGAAGAGGAGGGAAATGAGCATTGCTCAACAACACAGTGTCGTTTTAATGAAAGACTGTTTTTAGAAACTGTTAGTAGCTTCCAAAAAAAAAATCTTAATATGAGAGATGAACAACAAGCTTTGAAAACAAATATACAGCAATGGCATCCGTTACTCTTTACTGCGTTAAAATGGCAGGGTCTAAAAGAGGTTATGAGCTGGGACTGTATCAATTCACTCTGCTTCCACACAACAAAGAATCAGAAATATACAATTAGACTCTCAGCTGTGAGAATGTTAATAATTATAACAGATTTCACTACACAGAACTCTAAAAGTAGACAAAATCTACAGTTTTACCCAGAGACGAGCCACGGCCTATTCCTCCGATGGGGCTGGGGATGCCTCCGCTCTTGGACAGGCTATTCGGGCTGCTCTTGTTGCCTGGAAAGAAGCTCTGTGTCGGGGATGTGGAGGATTTGATAGACTCAGCTGTCTTGGGCCGGGCGGAGAGGTTGAGAGGCTGTGTTCCCTCCTCCTGAACATAAAAGACACAAAGCTTTTGTTAAAACAGGCACGGTCTATAGAGATGCTTTCCACCGTACATAAAAGACAATGCACCAGAGGCTATTACTGTAGACTAATTAGTCCGACTCCTCCAAGACATGGGTTCTGTATTCATAGCCAAGCTCTGTGCCATGCTCTAGCTCCTCGGTGCAGTGAGGGCCAGGTTTTGTTCGGGATAATTAAAACCTTCTCTGTCTGAGCACGCATCTTTATCTTCTCACCTGCTCTCATGCCCTAGAGAAACGTTTAACAGCTAATACATCCTGTTTCAAACAAATGCAATAAGACCTGAGAGGTTGTTGCTGTTGTAGCTGAATATATTACAATTAAGTGTGTGTTCTCTTGTCTTTGTGGTGGCCAAATGTGGTCCCTATGAGGAGAACAGCTCTAATTTGTGTTTTTAGGGATGTACACTAATGTTAAAAAGTTTAGGTTTTTATTTGATTTATTTACTTATTTATTTATCTTTTATACATTTATTCAGCAAGAATGCATTAAATTGATAAAAAGTGATATATATTTTTTATATATATATATATATATATGTTTCAAATAAATACTATTACTGAATCCTGGAAAAAAAAAGTTTCATGGTTTTCACATGTGTTAAAGATTGATAATAATAAGAAATGTTTCTTGAGCACCAAATCAGTATATTAGAATGATTTCTGAAGGATCATGTGACACTGAATACTGGAGTAATGGCTGCTGAAAATTCAGCTTTGCCATCACAGGAATACATTTCAGTTTAAAATATATTAAAATAGACAGTTTTTTATTTGTTTTGTTTTTTGATCAAATAAATGCAGCCTTGTGAGAATAAGACTTTTTTTCCAAAAACATTTAAAATATCTTACCTACCCCAAAGTAGAGAGCTTGATGAGTAAAACACAATATATAATTTGTGTCAAAACTGCATCATCAATCCAGATAAACTTTAAAATCGCATCTTATCATGTGTAGGCTAGAAAAAGATTTCACTGGCAGTGTTGTGCTGTCCAAACAGATGGGCCACATACAGAGACTGCCCCCAGCTCTTTGCAAATCTGACTGCCAATAACAGTTTGTCATTCAATTACGTTTCAACTAGACAAACAAACAAACAGATTGCTAGCTAATTAAGCACAGCGTATCTACATCTGTTAACATAAGTTAACGGGGCAAATATCACATAACATCTTTGATCAATATTAAGATAGCGTAAATCATACATGTGTTGGCTAAATAAACTGAAGTAGAGTGTCTAAAAATGCCCATCCGACTCTGAATTGCGGCTCAGTGCAATTGCCAATGATCTTACCGTATGCTTTGAGATGTTGATATGTGGAGGCTCTCTCCAAGGGCAGAGCTCCAAAAGCCCTGGAGGAGCAGCTTAGCTGAGCGACTGAAGAGGATTACGGGTGCTACGCACACACTACTATTTCGGTTCAATGATTTATCCCCATTCTATTGTGATATTAAACTAAACTTTTCCAAATGTGCAAGTGTTTTAGGTTACAGCCGCAGCACAAAAAAGAAAAACGGTGATGTATATCAGTGAAGACTGATGGAAAAGTGCTATATGCTGCGAGTGTTGATCTTATAAAAGAAACAAAAGACACTCATCACATCATTGTAGGCTCCTTAATATATTTAGATTATGTGCCTCTGATGTCATTGCCTTAGTTTGGTCCAAGTTAAATGTAATGCGCAGGAAAACGTGGGCCAGTCTCTGTCATGAGAAACCATGTGTTCCAAAAATGGCTCTCCAGGAGCAGGGAAAGCCATAGCAACCCTGTCCACAGAGTTCTGCTTGAGAGAATGGGTGCCTTGTAAAAGCAGCCCAGATTGATGGGCTCAGAGCGAGAGGAGAACCAGGCAGCAAGCTGCTGCTGTACCTACCACAGCTGATTTAGTGAACAAGGAAGTGGAGAAGACTAGGTCAAGTACCACTCCAGTCGCACCAGAACAGGCTGGGATCGTACCTTGACTTGAGTCAGTGGGGTTGAGGCCCTCTTTTCATTCTTCAAGCCAGACGGGGAGATGGGCCCAGCAGAATTGGGGGGATGGGGCAGTGGAGGCATCTTGGCTCCTGGAGAGACCTGCATGCTGGCCAGCTGGGCGGCATAGAGTTGCTGTAAGGAGGGAGACAACCCACAAGGCGTTAACATCCAAAGCCAGACACCATTCAAAGCCTTTATTCTCTTTTTTCTTCACTCCCTTGCATTGCTTTTTCCCTTTCCATCCCGGCACAGAAGCTCCATCAAAGGTCTAACTCTATATCAAACCCTAGATCCAGGGAGAGACAGCAGCCCCCAAAAAACCACACAGCAATGGCACGCATACAAGAGACTTGGCATACAAGCCACTCGTCTTTCCACTCATCACACAAAATTTGCAGACTGAAGCCTAGCTGCTTCTAAGATCGGATTTCCTTCCCCTCGCTCCCTCTAGTAAGCCTCTTTAACTTTAATTGGCGCCATTTTGTGTCGCTACGCAGACACCTGAACTTCCCCCTTCAATGGCAAACCGCACGTTCCCCTAAAGTTACACAAACTCAAGGTAGTCGAGTTTCCATTATGCACTCTATCAAAAGACATTCATTAAGACTGGAAGCCCGACAAAGAGAATTCATGTTCTTTGGCTTATTTTCACTGGCTCACGGTCAACATGCTCGCTAACGTCAGCAACCTTCCAGCGGTACGCATTCAGCATGCTGAAGTGCTACGTGTCAATCACTTATCAGAACTGAGATGTTTAGATTTCAGCTCTGAGATTGACTGTCATAAACTATTGAGAATTATTTTTATTTCAACAGATCGCTAATATCCACACACCATGCAGACCAAAGGAAAAAAAAGTAATAACTGCACCATTCAAAAAACCAAAGCAGTGTTAGATCAAAAGGAACAATTAAATACAAAATCCTGGGTTAGAATTGTACAACATAGTATATCGACATTTGTTTTAGTGCTGTGTATTATTTACAGATGCTTCAAAACTATCACACTTCCTTTCAGCTCTCTAGTGAGAAGACAGCTGTATGCACATCTGCTTTCCCTCAGGCAAATATTGATTAGCGAGCAGGTAAATGCTTATGTTTTCTTTTGTCTCTCACATTAAATAAGAGCAATCACACCAGGCCACGGGAGATAAATGTTCAAATCAGCTCAAATCAGATCTGAAAACATTGAAAGTGCATGAAACAAAGACTTGAAACTGTGATTAGAGACAATAGAGAGATATATAATCTAACATCAACTGGACAGTTGTTTAAAGTGTATTCTAGGACAGGGTTAATCAAATAAAGCTGTAATAAAATAAAATATAAATATTAAAATGAAATGAAAAACTAAAACTAAAACCAAAGAAACTAAATTAGAAATGCTGCCTTTGCAACTACCTGAAATAAGGTTAAGTTGAAGCACTAAAATTACTAACTGGAAATAAATAAACATTAAAGTTAACATTAAAGTAACAATAAATAAAAAATACAAAATAAAAGCTAATACAAAATATTAATAAAAACTATAATGCTATGCAAATAATACTAAAATAACACTGTTTTAGCTGTGTTATGATTTCAAGTGCATTATACACAGCTCCCCTTTTTATTTTGATGTTGATTCTATAGGTAACAGCCATATATATATATATAAAAATTATTATTATTATTATTATTTTTTTTTTTAAATAAAATATCACCCTTTAATGAATCAAATTAAGATCAGACTAAGCAGTACTATATTTTTACACACATAAGCCAAACCCAAAACTACAATGCCAAAGTTTAAGCCAAATTATTTCAGTCTCCCCTAAATATAGTGGTCCAGTGCTATTATCCATGTGTTTTTACAGCCTTAGTCGAGTTTTTTTTTAATGCGTATGTACCCGAGCGTGTTTGCCCTCTCTCTGCTCTCATTTCCGTTTCTTACTGGGCTACATAAGGACTCCATTTGTCTGAAATGGAAAAAGTGGCACCAGCATTAGTGGCCTGCCCCACCTCAGCCACTCGCATAGAAAAACCTGAGCCCAGACAAAGCGTTTTGTGTCTACATGTATCAGGAGATATCAACACTAAAATGCTCTCCGGTACCAAAGTTAAACGCTTGCACATTAGTGCCGCACAAAAGGGTCATTCTTCTGCGGGAGACCTGAGGCAAGCGTCGGCACACGGACAGCGGAAATGGCAGGCTGATTAGGTTCACACAGTGATAGTGCAGCTCGCCAGCCTGGTAAACAGAAAGCCTTTGTCCCGCAAAGCAAAAAACACAATCGCTATTCTTTTTTTTCTCTATAGGTATTAAGTGAACCTATGTGTGAGTATGTGTATTTGACTTGAGTTTTGTGCTTGTGAACAAGAAGGAAGCCCTCGGCCCAGTCTGCTGGACAGATGTTTGTTAACAGTGCTGCTGCTGTTGCTGATGTGGATGTGCAGAGGTACTCTGACCTTGCGTGGGAAGAACTTTATTGTTCGGAAAAAGCGTAATTGGCTTTTGCTTCAAATTAGAGCCAGTCAGACTACCTTTTGTGAGGCCTTATTAACGGGTCAAAGCAACAGGTTTAAGAGTAAAGCGGTGCACTATAAAGACACACAGGTGAAAAAAAACAATAAATACTAATGGAGAGGTGTGACACGAAGCACGGTTCTTATTGTCAAGGGCAGGAAAGGAGAGGATGCTTGCAAATGTGTCACATTGAGCTGTGCACAATGTGGCTTGTGTATTAAGGCCATGTGTTTTGATGCTGAAAGGTGTGAAAATAGACAAAAAGGAGACAGAAAGAGATGTGCTGATGTGGTGTGAGGACACACGTGGTAGTCTGTCTGAAGGGCATGTAATGCAGGGCTCCATTGGGCCTCCTCTGCCTCCCCTCCAGCCATACTGCAGGGTCTCCAAAGCAGAGAGGGCCAACGCTAATGAGGGTCATGCTCAAAGTCAATGGCTGAACAGGGAACGGGGCAGCCGGGACAAGCTGGCTCCATGCCCCCTGCCCCACAAAACTAAAAGGCTGAGCATGGTCAATCCCATCATTCTCCAGTCTGAGTTAACACGGTCTATTAATGCTTTAAATCTAGCTATAATAATAAAGCTTCCACTAGTTCTGTTTCACAAATGAAAAGTGAAAGATAATTTATTCACAAGGATTTTCATGATCATGGTCTTCTCAGGAATATTTTACACATTCTGATTTCTCATATAATACAAGCATTTAAACTCGAATCAATATTATACGTGCATTTGGGCCATACCATCTGTTGAAGGAGTCTTTGTTCATACAAAAATCTTGTGTTTCATGGTTCATACTCAAATCTCTTTTTGGAAATCTCAAATTAATAATACTATATACTGCCACACTTTCACAGCACAGTTTGTCTTCATATGACACTTCCCAAACATCCATTAAATATATATATTTTTTAATGTCTATATAGGCTTTTTATTAAGTTTTACTTTTATTTATTTTGAGCTATTTCAGTACTTCAACATACAAAATGAAAATGAAATAATATACAGTATATATATATTTAATGTATTTATATATATATGTACATGTATATGTGTGTGGCTGTACGTACACATATGTAGTTGTTTTTTGGTGTTTGGCTTAGTGTTATGTTAGAATAATTATTATACTCATACCTTTTGTTCTTTTAATATTTTTGAATTGTTTTTAGCTTTATTATTTTTTTGTTTTCATTTAAATGTTTTAGTTTTGAAATGTTGTATGCATTTGTCATTTTATTTAATTTCTTTTATTTTCTTAAATGTGTGTGTATTTAGCGTTTAGTTTTAATTACTTTTTCTTATTTGTGTATGTTTGAATTGTTTTTAGCTTTATTTTTTTGTTTTCATTTAAATGTTTTAGTTTTGAAATGTTGTATGCATTTGTCATTTTATTTAATTTCTTTTATTTTCTTAAATGTGTGTGTATATATAGTATTTATAGAGTTTTAGCTTTTAGTTTTAATTACTTTTTCTTATGTGCAAGTCGCTTTGGATAAAAGCATCTGCTAAAGGACTAAAAGTAAAGTAAAAGTAAATATAATATAATATAATATTTGGTTAACTTGATATTTTAAAAGAGGAACAAAAGATGAGTGACTCAACACAACACACACACAAACACCAACAGACATACAAAGTGGTGTATAAGCAGCAATCTGACACAGTGGAGAGCTATTACAGTGTGTTTTGAAGCTGCTGGCTCTGAAGAAATGGGAGCTGATGGGGACAGAACACTAGTGGTGCTGGAGAGAAAGAGAGCTAACGAAAAAGAGAGGCATAGATGTTGAGCTGCTCTCAGCATGTGGTTTCAGAAAGGCCTGCAGAGAAAAGGCCTGATCCACCCCAGTGACTCAGGTAATACCTTTGTCCACTTGAGCATTAAATGACTCGCTGCTATACAGCTTAGTTAGAGAGAGAGAGCGGCTCGGGAAATAGGGCTTTTCAATTCGCTCACCCGCAGTCCTCATACTTCGAGCGATACACGCACACATCTCCTGCCTCCCTCTCTCGCACATATGAGCCAAGCCCATCTCACAGTCCGTGGATCCCAAATGAGTGGGGTCCACCCCAAGGTCAGGCGGTTAGCCTCTGATAATTAAAAGCAACCCCTCTGGAGACAGAAGAGGTTAAATGAGTGGGCCCACCATTTCTGCCTGCAACAACAGTATTTGCAGATCATCTAGATTACCCAACACTTTCAGACTACGCCGCTGGATGCATCAGCACTCAGGAATACTTTGCTTTCAAGTGTCTCAGAGAGCCAATTCAGTGCTCCACCTTTGAGTAAAGGTATGTAAACACTCAGGATAAGCTGTTTATAAACGAAAAAGGCACGGTTAAGGAAGGTTACGCTTTTTTTCAGGTAAAATATCATTCAAACACACTGTGTTTTACACTGTAAAAATTGAAGTTATAATCAGAGCTGTAGTGCAGCGAGCTGTGCATACAATCAGCTCATGTGTATATACTATAAAGTTTCGAGTCTGACCTGGGTTGTTATCTCAATCACAACTTCTTCTGTACTCAATTATACTATACTCAAAGTAAAAAAAATGTTGGAAATCTGGTGCTCAAGAAACATTTCTTATTTATGTCAATGTTGTGCTGTGCTGTTTCACAGAAACGTC